AATATGGTTTTTGAGAAATATAACTATAAATCATATAATCAATGATAATTTTTGAGAAGATTGTCATAAGCAGAGAGATCGATGGGTTTGATGTATTATAGATGTATAAATTACTATTGTTTGTTTATTTTAGTGTATTGAATTGATTACTTCTTATAATCAATCTATGATGACAAGATGTCATAAACTTCAAAAGAGGGACGTCGACAGCGTCAACCGTGAAGTAATTTGGAAACTGCTTCAAAAGCAGAAAGTGCAGTCCGCCAAATCTTTATCACTCTCATTCAACAGGGTCACATGATGATGCCACATGTCAAGTGAAGACAGGAGTTAGTTAGATAAGACTTCCAAGTGTCAACCACAATATTTCTTATTGTTTTGGACTAGATCATGCGCACATGCGAGGTGGGAAGCGCACGTTGGGCCGACAAGAAAACTCTAGAAGATCTGGAATTCGCAGATGACTTATGTCAAATGTCACACAGACTCACAGCGTTTCAACTACAGTTAGGCGGCACGAATGGGGATGTCACAGTCAGGATCAGAGAAGCAAGACAGATCTTCATTACTCTGAAATCAATGTGAAAATCTACTTACTGCACACTAATGTCAAGTCAGTCATTCTACATGGTTCAGAGATGTGATTCGTGCGTCACCGAAAGTATTTCTAAGAGGCTGGTGCATACTTCAATCAACAGCTGCCTTCTATGGCTCCGTACCGAAGATTAGATGGTCAGAAATGATAAACAAGAAGCAACTCTAGTAACGAACCAACCAAGAACTTATTAATCAACAAATAGGCAGAGTCAAATGGAGGTGGATTAGACATACGCCTAGGAGACTGATGGGTGCTCCAAGGAGGCACTCGAGCTAACCCGAATAATAGACGATGAGTCGGACGTGGGTTTGATGGTGATGTGGAGGAGATGAAACTTTATAGTTAGTGCTAGAGCTAGCTAAAACGCGATGTCTGTACCAGCTAGCTGGGTGAAACAACCAGAAGTGTGAATCAATCAGTTAGTGGCAAAGTTACCAGAGGTGACAAAAGTATCCTCACTTCCATACCACAGATGTATGGTGCTGACCAACAGGAACCTGAGTAGAGAGTCTGGTTTATGCTCTTTGCTTTCGCCCAAGAACCCATTAGTGACACATTACAGACAAACAAAAAAGCTGTTGGTATTAGGTGAGATTCTGACATTCACTTCCACCTCCACGACATTTCCATTTACTTTCTACACGGGTCTGAAGCATTGGAACATCAGATATACGTTTCCGTTCCTCATATCAGTTTCCTTGAATACCTGTAAAATTTATTACATGTTTTAGAACACTTATTCACATATTTAAACTCAACACTTAGGAAACAAGAGTACAAAAGAAAAGTTCGGAAAGAGTCGTAAATATCTTGATTAGTGTTTTACTTAACCAGGAATTTTTGTGTCAGCTATCGTCAGCATTAGAACTTAGGATGCTAGACTATTTATCCACTTCACTCATAATCCTACGTGACAATTCGGGTGCATGCAAAGAGTTACATTCATGTGCAATAAGTAGGTTTGATCTATATTTATCAGTTCAGTCAGATGACTTTAATTTTTGAAAAAGAGCTACTGTTATTTGTTTGAGATTTCAGTATTCTTCTGTTGACCCACTAAAGAAAATGTTGTTCTGTTGTGATTGGTTATTTTTATTATGCTAACTGGTTGAGCATGTCGATCAGTTCACCTATTTTAGAGGTTGCGTCACGAACTATATACTGCTGTTTGATTGAGATAAGTAGATAGATTCTACTCACACCAACCAGAAGTGCTTACTAGTCAGACTGAGGTGATCTAAACACCAGAGGGCCGTTTCGCTAGTTTGAGCATGATCTTTGCTGATTTATATGAGTGGTATACAACTACTAATCTTACTTGATCAGTAATATGTAGTTTTCTGCAAATTTGCTTGCCTTCTTGATTACCAATCATGGTGTCAAGCGGATCATACAATGTGATAGGAATAACTTGATTTCCTAAGGAAACTATGGTGAAATTTCACCACTCGAACTGTGTAGATTGCAAGTTGTGAATTTGATTTAAGGTTGCGTCATCCCTAATAGACTGACTGATGATGAAATCTGAGCACAGATACAAAAGGCTTATGTGGCATTGATTCACCAACTCGCGTTATCTCTGACGTAGACATCGTATCCACCTGTCAATCAGAGGATGTATGCACTGTGCAACAGCTCAGTCGGTCCCCAATTGTGGCTTTGAGAAATGGCTGTTGAAAGCTGAGGATATAAAAAGTTTAACTGTCTTTGACTACAGATGTTTGCGTTCTAACACACATGTTAACTGGTATGATACGGTAAGTATTACTGAGGCTAGACGTAGAGTGTCGATCGATGATGTTGTAAAGCTACATTGATTAAGATGGCCAGGACATGTGTTGCGTAGGACGAGTCATCACCTTCCTTAATAATAAATGTTAGCTGACATAGGATTAGGTTGGAAAAAAGTTAGGGGTAGCCAAACAAAACTTGGCATAAATCCTGACTTCATATTGGAGTTGAAAATTCGGATGTTATTTTTGATGGTGAGTGGGGCTGTTGACCTCCACACAGACTTGAGAGTAATGAAAGCTTGTCTTGCTTTCTCGATCCTCGCTGCTTTGATATCCTCGTCAGCTCCGTCTGCATGTAGTTGAAACGATGCTTCCCAGGTAGGTAGGTGAAGGAGGTTGTTTCTTTCAAGTTCCCTCCATATATGCTTCTTATTGTCTGTTGTTGTTGCCCAGGAATCTTCGTGGAAAGTGGCAACTTGAATGGCTGCATTTCAGTGTAAAAATTCTATTTTAAACTCAGGCAGTCAGCCGGTTTTCATCATCAATGAGTGATATACCTATCTAAATGAGTCGAATTAGTTGAAACCACCCGAACTTTTGATTAAAGGTTGTTTTTCATGGACATTTCTACAATTGACTATCTTAATAAATTTGAAATAAGCAAGAATGGCAACACATTGAGCAGGATACGAAGACAGCACTTTTTTATCAACTCTTGTTAAATACAAACAAACTGAAACCATTTCTTGAAGATGATGACTATTAATATTACATATTATTAATGAATATACGTGGAGTTCAGGGAAGGCGGAAAAAGGGTGTCAGTAGGCTTGTTGAAATCTGCAAAAAAATTACAATATTCTGGAATCGGAGACTGAAGTTGGACATGAGTGAGACGCATACAACTTATGGTTGAAGTGAATAAAGTGTGTCTCATGTTCCACAAACTCAGAGATTTGCGAAAACCAACAAAATCGGCAGAAGAGACAGAAAAGATAGAACATTAGGAGAATATAGGAGGACAGAAGTGGTGAACGTAACTAAACAACAGCAACAACAACAAGTACGAGTCACCATCAGTGAAAGAGGACATCTCTTCGACCTACCTGTGTAATATCCTTTCATCTAAAGGTGACATGGATTAGGATGTCGAAGTTAGCTAGCATCGAAAAAAGCAAAATGTGTCATCACTACTCATAAATTCAGTATGGAGATCTACGACACTCAACACAAGGAACAAGATTCGAATTAAAACCCTTCATATCAAGTCAGTGCTTTATGTGGATCAGAGTATGAGTGTGTGCACTGAAAGCATTTCAAACACACTTTTCTCAACAGACGCCTTCGCTCGATAATAAAGGTCAGAGGGTCAGTCAGGAAAGATAAACGATAAAGAACAAACTGGCAGTTCAGCCAATCAGTAACAACCAATCGCTGGAGATGGATTAGACATATACTGAGGAGATTGTTGGGCGACATCACGTACCAGGTCCTAGTATGAAGTCTAGATGGAGGCCACAAGTTGGACATCTAAAGGCAACATACAGAGAATGATATGAAGTGGAAATGAAGGCTTGTGAGCCGTTGTGGATTCATTTCGAAGTGATGGCATAGAATCGAGTGTTATTGGCATGTCTTATGTTCCCCTCAAAATGCAACGTATTGATGCCGGTGACAATAATGATAATACACTGATTAGTCACAAAGAAGTAACCAATATCATCCACCCCTGGTTTGCAACGTGGTTACCAGGCTAGATTACTCGTCACTATGATACTGTCTGAATTGAATTTCGGTGGTTGGAGGCAGTCGACAGGAAGCCTTGAGTCTAGATTTTCTGCTTGTCGGCACTTGTCAGCAGAACATATCTGCAACCCTTAGAATGGATTGACACTCCCTTGGAGATTCGACCCCGCGTCACTAAGTGGTGTGGTCAGAAACGTCATCAGTGAGCTATTCAGACTCACGATGGACTGTTATGGATACAACAATTGATCACTGAAGGATAATCAGTGTTATATGTCAAGTCATAAATGCTGGTCCTTCTTAAGTTGTAAGGTGGTCGCCAACTGACATGAATGCATCAGTGGGTGACGTGGATTAGCATTTTTGAGGGCACATTACTTCCTATGAGTTTACATATACGCCATCCTGACGACCATCAGTAATCATAAAAAATAGACGAAGGGCTTCTGGTTAATCACTTTCAACTACCTATTATACCGGCAGATGTTTACGGCAAATATTTGTAATCGATCATTTATACGCTTAGAGAAAGTACTTTTGTATTTTAAGCCAACTACTTCGATAAAAAGAAACTGATTGTCAGTACAGACAAGTTTCTTTGTCAGTCGTGAAGTTATGATTTATGCATGTATTTACATCATAACCTGACTGAACTGTTTTGATTCGTTCATTTGTGGCTTAAACCTTAGAGGATTGCGATGTAATGCAACCAATCAGAATTGTTTATTTATTTATGGCCTAAATTTCTGAGGTTTTTTAAAATATGATATACCATGTATTTTGTTTAAAAAAACGCTGTCGTTCCAATCGTCATTCTCCCAGTCTGAATTATGTGTCTATCTCATTGTGAAAGATATTTTTCAAGTGATCAGTTGGTTGTAGTACTGTGTTCTGGAGGTGCATTCCAGTTAATTTAGACGATCCCACAACTACAGTAACACCCCGTCATTACACCAATAAAAGCTAGACTATAATAAATCATAACTATTTATATTTGTATAACAATTTAATTGGCTTGTAATATCACTGGATACATATTTAAAATTTATTGGCCATTGTACTCTGATCACCTCCATATTTACACGGTTGATCGCCAGTTGACATCAATTAAAGAACCACTGGAAGACCAGCGAATATTGAACAGCTATTTCATCCTACCTTAGGACTCTTCAACGACACTTTCCCACCTTCGCATCTGATTCTCTTTTCGAAGTATGATAGCAACACAACAGTTAAAGCATATTTAACGTGTCTTCGTGGATAGTTAATTCTTCTTCTGATTAATTTCCATTCTCAAACTCTTAAACCCATTGGCATCTTCATTCTTTTGTATGGTTCCATTTCTTGTGGTTATGTTATTGAACTGGGAGAGTAAATGTCTATATCGTTTAGGCACGACAATAATCACCAATCCCCCTGCCATTTGAAAAGAAACAAAAAATTACTAACTCTAAGCTGATCTCATGATAATGAAATAGACTTATACGAGTAACCCTTAAGAACTGTAAATTACCTAAGTAAGAATAAAGTGCTATTGGTAAACACAGTGTCATTTCATTACTGTCCTCCGAAATGTCAATTACAGAACCATCGTGGTTCGTCAATTGGCAATGTTTATGCTTAGAAATACGACAGTATCTGACCATCTTCCAAACGGTGACTTTCGCTGTTGATTAATTGAAACGCTCTGAGCAAATTGTTTTGCCAAGTAGTTCGTTCATTTGACGATGATCCCAAAATTTTATCTCTAACACCGCTGTATAAATGCCTCTCCCTCATCCGTCTCTCTTCACCACTATTTTGAACCAAAGCCCTATTTTGATTACTATATGCAACAATATCCGAAACCAAATGAATTTCTTCAGCACTCGGGTCGATTCAAAGATGCCATCCATTCCCCACACACCAGGTTAAAAAACCCACCCAAAAGCACCCTAACAGACCTCATATATTTCAGGTGCGGTTTAAAAGGCTGTGCATATCCACTACACTGAGTCGAACACAAGTCCTAATCGTAACGAAAATAATTAACAAGCAACGGTAAGCGATACTAGGTGGATGGATAATAATGCGAAAACCTTTAAAGATTTATTAATAATGCCTTAACGACAGATTTAATTACAAAATAACATTTAGTCCACTGTCCATATAAAAGGTGAGTGTTGTTAAACTCCTCAAAGGAATAACTAGTGTATTTAACTGAATTTAGACCAAAGTGCTCGATCTCAGGTTGACATGTTAGCTTCTTGTGCATATGCTTCGACGATGTCTAGACATTTAAAGGATAACGCTTTGGCGTTTGAAACTATGGGCACTAGGTTCGAGCCTCGGTGGGAACATCATCACTCACTGGGAAATGCAGGTACATCCAGTTGACGAGCCCCAAATAGGACGAAATGTGCTTCATCATAGATTCCACTGCTAGTCACCATCCAACAATTGAATAACTAGTACGTTAGAAGTGAAAAAGAATTTGTAAAAAAAAGTAGAGAACTCTGAACACTTCTGATTAGTTTCCAAAGAAGTCTTGGAAGCTTTCAAAGAAATCTTATTAAGTTCTGCTAATTTATTATTATTATCATCATCATATTCCATGAAATCTTTAACAGCTAGTTTGAGCCAGCTAGAAAGAAGGATGCAGACTGCTTGATTGGAGTCCTGGGAACGCCAAGAACCAGTGGCTGGAGACAACTAGTAATATGGCTCGAAAGCGATCTAAATGGTGCAGATGCATTTACTCTTTGTGATATGCTGTATCCATTAAAACCCTGTTGTTGTTATTTTTATTCTTTCTCCCTCAGATTTCTGCTTATTATCGTCTGTTGAATCTTTTCTTTTTCTCTCTTTTGTCTTCCCTTTATGTGCTACAAAGAGTGCGGCAACTCGAACTGCTGCATTTCTGTGCAAACTTCAATGGTAAAACCAGTCAGTTACATTCCTTAATACCGAAAGAAGTTATCAATACTTAACTGTAATATATATGTAATTATACGGATCACTGAGTATAACGCTTGGATTTCAACCAGTGGTTACTAGGGCTCGAACCCAACACCACCAACTTAATAATAATAATAATAATAATAATAATAATAATAGCTTTATTCCAAACAATCCTTTTGATATAATGTGGCATTTTTAGCATGTAATGCAATATTGCATCTAATTTTCACCTCACATTATATAGTAAGGGGGAAAATAATTAACAGAGCATTTGAGCTGATAAAACTGTTCAATAAGAAAATGAATGTAAAATTAAAAGTTAAGTGGTATTTTAAACAGCTACGTCCTATAATGAAAGAAAGAAAGAATAAAAAGGGATGTTTACTCAGTGCTTCGCAGTAGGTTATTAGTTTCATGCCCTACACTTTCCTCATCACATAAAATGTGTACCAAATAAGGTGTTGTAGAGTTTTTATACCTAGTCGTCCGAGCATAAAGTTATTTATAATAATTTCTTCTAGTCCTACGTGATGAGATGTAAGAAGACAGTTGTGCACAAAGAATATGTGCATAAAGATATAACTGTACAACACTGTGTGATTTATCAAAGTAAAATCTTATCCATAATGGAGTTATACTCTACCACAGTGCCCAAGTTTTATACTTATATCAAGATGCTCAGAGTCCAACAAGGTTGTATTCAAATTTAAATAAAGCAGCCAGAAGAACAGTTTTCGCAGAATAAAATGATGTTATCATTTATTTCGTTGACTTTTCATCAGCTGCTTACAGCTTAAACACATCATTAAGTTTATGTACAGAAACAATTTTAGCATACTTACACAGAGAGTTCATTTTTAAACATAAAATCAATATATCCAAACAATGCTAGTAATAATGATAATAATCACTTTATCCCAGACAATAATAATTATACTCAATGTATTTTCTCAAATGGAAGGAATAATGAAAACATCCAGTTACCAGGGCAAGGAAAGACTGATAACCGCTCCTTTCTGAAAGCATAAATCAAGTTTCAGATTGACTGCTTTCAGAAGATTGCTTCGGCAAACTTGAGGAGAACTGGACTCTTTTGCCTTCTAATAATTTTGAACGATCTTGTGACGTCCATCTCATGACCCGTGTCAAGGAGATGCCTGGCGGTTATCAGTCTTTTCTTGCCCTGGTAACTGGATGTTTTCAGCCTCTCTTCCATTTGATTGCGTAACTCCGAAAAAATCCATTGAGTATGATTATTATTGTTTGGGATAAAGTGATTATTATCATTATTACTAGCATTGTTTGGATATATTGATTTTATGTTTAAAAATGAACTCTCTGTGTAAGTATGCTAAAATTGTTTCTGTACATAAACGTAGTGGTATCTTTGAGCTGTAAGCAGATGATGAGAAGTCAAAGAAATAAATGATGACACCATTTTATTCTACACAAACTGTTCTTCTTGCTTTATTCAAATTTATAAAAGGGATGAATGTATGGCGATTGTATTCGCCAATTTCTTGCATGAGTCCAAGCACATGTCCACAACAGTATTACTGAATTGGTTTAGGGACAACTCACTCGCTCTACCGACAACTTCTGGTGCCCTTCGCAGTGTAACAGTCTTTCTTCAGTGGCCCGCGATTAATTGATTGGGAGCAATCAAGAATATGTAGAATACAAGAGCTGACAAACTGTCAGTAGAGAGTGAGTGATACCAGATTGTCTGAAATCTCTTCCATAGAAGGTTAGACAGAATATCTTTCTAGAAAAATTAGCATGACTTTGGAAGATCACAGAAAAGACAAAAATCGAAGGTAATTAACATTCAACTTAGTTCCAACGTCAGTGTCATCTGAGACAAGAATCATGAGAACGAACCATTTCTTATAAATAGCGCCTGTCTCTGAAGGTGAAATTAATAATCTATAATTGGGACAGATATAAATTAAGGCTATTCGACAAAGATCACTGGATGATTTCTGATAAAAAAAAGCTCTTCATTTCGCAACAGTCTGATTGAAATGTCATCGGTATACATAACAAAATCGGCTTCATTAAAATCAGGCAAGTGATGTAAGAAGACAGAAAACACGAAAGGAGAAAGAACGGCACCTTAGGGAACACGGGCTAAAGTCAGTGGAGGACTTCTCGTTATATAGAGTGTGCTGCTTCCTGTCAGAAATGAATGTGAACAGAAGTTTGAGCTACTGTATTACCATCAGTTGTCACACAACAAAAGTGTGGCTCATAGCCTTATCCACGATGTATTATTCACATCTTTGTTTAAATGCCTTCGTTAAGTATTGACAAATTTTTATGGATTGTGAAGTTATTCACTCACATGATTAATGATCTCATGACTTACAGATTGAACAAAAAAAGGGTAATAGCAGTTATGGATTATCAATACCTGATATACTTTTGAATCAGAAAAATACCGAAATATAGACACCACAGTTATCGTGTTTTTGAACAACTCACCGATGGTGTTGGATATCTAAACCCTTTAAATGAAGACGTATATGTCAAGTCATAGTCTTATTAAAGCTGCATAAATGTCCTTTATGTTACCTGATTTATTTATTGCTTTCAGAATTATTCATGCAACAACGCTAGAACGGACAAGTTTTTGTATTAGCCATGATTTATGACTGTATTGACATAATGGTCTTATTGGAACAATTTCGATTTGTTTAATCTTTGGCTTAATTTTCTGAGGGATTTTCGATGTCGGGAAAGCAGTTAGACCTGTTCGCTTATGACTTAAATTTCTGAGGTCTTGTGAATATGATATACCATGTATTTTGTCTGAAAAAAAACGCTGTCCTTCTGGTCGTCATTTTCGCAGTCTGCGTTTTGTGTCTATCTCATTGTGGAGATAACTTCAAGTGATCAATTGATCATAGTGTGGTGTTATGGTCAAGGTAGACGATGCCATTACTGAGTAACATTTCGTCTTAACTGTCTGTCTGTCTGTTTTCGACATAGAACTTTGCACAAATGTGCGGAAGTTCAAGTCGCCACATTCCGTGTAGCACGCGAAGCAAGAGAAGAAAGTACAAGAAAAGCAAATAGAAACAGTGAGCAGAGGTGTGAGACAAAGGAGTAATAAAGAAATACAAAACAGTTTCATTGGAGATCATAAGTCACAGGGAGTGGATGCATCTGCGCCACTGAGAACGATTTTGAGCCATGTCACCAATTGTTTCCAACCATAGATTTTTGCCGTCCCGAGGACCCCAGCCTGGAAGTCTACACCTTCCTACGTGGCTAAGACCAACTGTTGTGGATTTCATTGACTGATGCCAAGTTTTTGTTTGACCGCCGCTAGCTTTTTTCCAGCCTGACCCTATATCCGCTAACATTGCTCGTCGAGGGAGGCGATGGCTTGGCATACGTAACACATGTCCTAACCATCTCAGTCGATGTAGCTTCACGACTTCATCGATTGATTTCCCCTGTTTACCTAGGAC